AGAAAAAGGAACTCTCATCCATTGTTGGTGGGACTGCAAAATGGTGCAGTCTCTATGGAAAATGGTATGGAGGTTCCTCAAACAATTGCAGATAGATCTACCATATGACCCAGCTATCCCACTGCTGGGAATATACCCAGAGGAATGGAAATCATCAAGTTGAAGGTATACTGTTCCCCAATGTTCATCGCAGCACTCTTTACAATAGCCAAGAGTTGGAACCAGCCCCAAAGTCCATCATCAGATGAGTGGATATGGAAAATGTGGTATATCTACACAATGGAATACTACTCAGCTATAAAAACGAATGAAATACTGCCATTTGCAACAACATGGATGGACCTTGAGAGAATTATATTAAGTGAAACGAGTCAGGCACAGAAAGAGAAATACCACATGTTCTCACTTATTGGTGGGAGATAAAAGTTAATATATAAATTCAAACACACACATACACACACACAAAAAAAAACCGGGGGCGGGGAAGAAGACATATCAACCACAATTACTTGAAGCTGATAAGACAAGCAAACAGGAAGGACATTTTTGGTGGGGAGGGAGTAGAGGGAGGAGGGAGGGTGGTTTTGGTAAGGGGCAACATTAATCAACCACAATGTATATCGACAAAATATAATTTTTAAAAAATAAATAAATAAATAAAAATAAAAAAAAATTAAAAAAGAGATGGACGTATCATACTCAAGCACTGTGTCCATGTGCAAGGCAGAAAGAAGGGGGCAAAGGCTCGTACCAGCCACATCCGTCTCTTTCATTATAAAAGCAAACTCTTTCCTAGGATCTGCCCAATAGGTGACTGCTTAGAATTCATTGGCAAAGCCAGTCCTCATGGCCAAACCCAGCTGCAAGGAATTCTGGGATTGTTGATTGGCTCAGGATGAACACAGCACATTGCTTGCCCTGAGCTAGTGCACATTCCAGTGGCAAAAAAGAAGGGGGAGGGCAGGATCCTGAAGAGATGATTAACAGTGAGAAAATAGATAGAAATAATAAATCCTGGAGCTCAATAGCACAATCAGATCACTATACTTAAAAATAATTTATTGCATGTTTCAAAATAGCTAGGAGAAAAGATTTGGAATGTTCTCAACACAAAGAAATGATCAATGTTTAAGGTGATGGTCAAACATTTGATCATTACACGTTGTATACATATGTCAAAATATCATGTGTACCCCATAAATATGTACAATTATTATGTATCAATCACAAAGAAATGATCAATGTTTAAGGTGATGGTCAAACATTTGATCATTACACGTTGTATACATGTGTCAAAATATCATGTGTACCCCATAAATATGTACAATTATTATGTATCAATCAAAAATAAATTTTTTAAAAGGAGAAAAATACATTGTGTAAAGCTTTAATGTAAAATGGTGTCCTTATGAAGGACATCTCTTTGAGGTGTCATGATGGGAACGAACAGTAACTACACTGATTCTTCTCTCTGGATTTGTGAGATGAGGGTGATAAACAAAAGGCTTGAATAAGCAAGAGCTGCTGGTTTGTGTGGTCCTCAGTGGGGAAGCTGAGCTTGGACTGTTTGATAGAACACAGTACAGACCATAAAAGGGGTGAGGGCTGTGGCACTTAGAATTTCTTCATTATCATTAGCTTCTCAGTCTCCAGACTCCTTAAGTCAGGACCTGCATCATGGTGTCTCAGAAACACTAAACCTCTCCTTCATAGGATATACCACAGTTGAAGTTTTATGTTTAGTTTTGTGATGGTATGACACATGTCTGTGTGTCCCCCACAAGATTGTGAACCCCACTGGAGCAGAGACTGTGCTAGGATTTGCTCCATAATATGTTTCCAGCCCTTTAGACAATGTCTGCACATAGTGAGCACACACTAAGTACATGTTAGATGAATGGACAGCAAGACTGTGTTCCTTCACAGTCCAGGACTCAGTCTCCTCAATGTCTGGAGGCTCCGCATCAACCAGCATAGGCCAATGCAGCATCTATGTGGGATCCATATCCATCATCCCGCACGTGAAAACATCTGCAAAGGATTTTGGGGGGGCAGGTGAGTTTGCACAAGGATGACCTTTTGACAACTAAGCCACTCGTACTCTCAGAATTTTATTCATCTAACATTGAGCAGCTATTTACTGAGCATCTATCATGTGTAAGATATTGTTCTAGGCACTAAGCATACAGCTATAAAAACAGAAAAAATTCCCACCTAAACAGCTTACATTATAGAGGGCAAGATAAAAAGTGTATTAGTTTTCTGTGGCCATGTAACAAATTGCCATAAATTTAGCAATTGAACAAAATACACTTTTGTTATCTCAGTTTCTGCGAGTCCTCTCTACTCAGGGTCTCATCAACTTCCATCAAGGTGTTAGCTGGGCTGCATTCTCACATAGGGCTCAAATGGGGAAGAATCTGCTTCTGAGCTCACTGAGGTTGTTGGAGGAATTTGTTTCCTTGCGGTTGTAGGACTGAGGGTCTCAGGCTTTTGCAGACTGTTAGCTAGAGCCCACCCTCAGCTCCTCGAGGCTGACTTCATTTTCTGAGGCTGCCTGCAGTTCTTTGCCACGCCAGCTTCTCAAACAGGGCCACTCAATTCACCCAGACCAGAGGGACTCTTACCTCAAGAATGGCCCAGTTCCCTTTTTATGGGCTTTCACCTGGTTAAGTCAGCTTACTCAAAGTAATCTCCTTTTTGAATAACTCAAAAGCAAGGGATTAGGGAATTTTAATTACATCTTTTAAAAATCCCTTCACTTTTGCCATATTCTATTAGCGAGAAGCAAGGCCCAGCTCCTACCCACACTCATGGGGAGGGAATTATACAAGAGGTGATCAGGTGGTAGGAGCAGGGGGGCCACCCAGGATCTGTCCACCACAGTAATAAAATAAGCAAATGAAAATACCATGTGATATGTTGTAGAGATACAAGTGCCCTGAAGGCTCCTTCACAGATAGAGGGAATTATCTAGACAGCCTCGGTGCCCATTTCTTGAATCTTGCACACTTAGGACAAGACCCAGAGCCACAGCCACAGTAGTGTGTCTGCCATGTCTCATGAGTCCCCTCTGGTGGTGACATTGGCAATTTTCCCCACTGTAAACTACCAGTGTCCTGTCTTAGAAAATAATATGTACATAATCATGCAGCTGGCAGGTGCAGAAGCAGAATTTGAACTCAGGTTAGCCCATTTCTTCCAGAATCTGAACTCTCCCAAGTGTCAATCATCTCTCCCTCCATAATATCAGCCACATTTTCTCCCCTGGTTTATTTCCATCAAGCA